GAATGAGCACTGTGTAGCCATTGCCGAACTTCTTCATCAGCTGCAGTGGACTGCCGATGCAGTATATCTGTCCGTTGACCATGATGATCAGCTGATTGCACAGTGAGGAGCACTCGTCCATGCTGTGGCTGGTGAGCACAATGGAGACGCCCTCCTTGAGCTTGGTGCTGATCGCTGTCCACAGGCAACGACGGGCCACTGGGTCTACGCCTGAGCTGGGCTCGTCCAGCATGGCAATGGGTGGATTGCCCAGAAAGGAGATGGCCGTGGAGAGGCGTCTCTTGTTGCCGCCGGAGTAGGCATCAACTCGCTTGTCGAGGTGCATCTCGAAGTACAGCAGTCGGCTGAGCTCGTCAATCTGCCCGGGAATTTCGCTTTCTCGGATTCCTCGCAGTCGAGAGTAGAAGGTCATCATCTCTCTGCCGGTCAGGTCTTCCAGCAGTGGAGTGTCAAACTGATTGCAGAAGCCCAGGTCCTGCTGGGCACGTCGAAGATTCTTCTTGACGTTAATGCCGTTCACGAAAATGTCTCCCCTAATTTAGGTAAAAAAAAGATTGATANGGTCATCATCTCTCTGCCGGTCAGGTCTTCCAGCAGTGGAGTGTCAAACTGATTGCAAAAGCCCAGGTCCTGCTGGGCACGTCGAAGATTCTTCTTGACGTTAATGCCGTTCACAAAAATGTCTCCCCTAATTTAGGTAAAAAAAGATTGATGAAAAAAACTGAAGAAAAGTATTCGAAAAATCACTCACCCCGAAATGTTTTCATCGCCTGTGATCATCTTGAACGTTGAAGTTTTTCCAGCACCATTTACTCCTGAAACCAACCATATTAGTTCATGTTATCATACTCTGAAAGATATCAACGTACCCAGCATTCCAAAGCAGGTTCCTCGCTGTACGGTGTATGAGATTCCCTTGACAGCGGTAAATGTGCCGTATCGTTTCTTCAGTCGACGGACAATCAGTGGGTTTGTGTCTTTGCACTGTTTCGGGTCCATTCCGTCCACTCGTTTCTTCTCTAGCTCCACATCATCATCAGTGACGTCCAGTTCAAGTCCAGCTAACTCGTGATTTTTTCCACTTTTTATCATCTGCACAAGACTTTGAATTGACTGCTCCCAAAGACTGCTCACGTAATGAAAGAAACTGTTTTCAAGCAGAATGAGAATGGTCATGTAAATTGTGGCACTGGCGACGAGGTACAGCAAATTTGATCCAATTCCTGGCTCGTTCAGAGAAAGAAAATTTGGTTCATATGGCAAACATTCGTCTTCGCATATGTCTAGTCAAATGATAAAAGTTATTGTAAATAAACAAGATTTTTGACTATTAAAAAAGTTAAAATAATTTTATTACCTTTACAGCAGGGTTTCACAATTGAAGAAGTGCTGGTGTCTTTGCACAGAAGTTGCACTAACTCCAAGCCGCAGACCTTGTTCGTTTCGTAATTTTGTATCATGTTGGAGGCTAATTTACCCAGATCGTACACAGGAATGAGCAGAGAGAAGATTGGCTTGAGAATTCTGTTTTTATCGAGCAGGTCGAGCTGCTTGAGAGAGGTAATCTGGTCGGTGAGAATGGCGGCAATGCCGAGGACGGCGGCGTAGAGGCACAAACGGGCGTAGGCAGTGGCCGGCGCGTCAAACATGAAGGACATGGCGTAGACAAAGGGCAGAATGGCGAAACCGTGAATGACAAAGCCGAGCAGGAGGTAGTATGGCTGATTTTCCTCGTAGAGGCCATTCTCCTTGTAGATGACAAAGGTGACGATGATCAGCGCCGAGGAGGCCAGGTAGATGAAGTAGTCGACGAGGAAGTAGGACATCCAGTAAAGACTGCTTCGTACACCACTCAACCCTTGAAGGTGTTTGCCCTTGTTGACACGCTCCTTGACCGCCAGAACGGCAAAGCTGCCAATTAGGAAAGCAATGGCCATGATCAGGCCTTGCATCACCTGGAACTGCGTCTGAGCGGTCAGTACTGACATCTTCAGGTTGTCTCGCGTTTGCAGCGGCAGCGGCAGATTGGTCACTGTGATGTCGAAAGGGCTGTCATTCAGTCCATAGACGTAGCGAATGTAAGCCTCATCGACATACTTCAGCGCAATGGACGGCGTGTGGAAGGCCTGGTTGTTGAAGAAGCTGGTCAGGGTAATCACATTGCTGGTGGTGTTGCGCTGCAGCACGGCGGATATCATGTACTCGTAGCTGTACACGCTGACCGGCTTGCTGAGCACGTTCTGGCCAATGACCTTCGGGTTGGTGCTGTTGATGGCCACCAGTTTGCTAGACCCACCGGGCAGGTGGGGACGAACGGCGGCGGCGTAGCTGGTGGCCAGCTCTGCCACCGACTGGTCGTAGAAGTAGGTGATCTGCGGGTTGCGGAACTGAGTGAGCTCCATGTGCAGCGGGGGCGCCTCTTTCTGTCGGGGAATGGCCTTCAGTGAGAGCTGTGTCATGTTCAGTATGATGAAGGGGATCAGCAGTTGAGCGGCCGTCAGGAAGGGACTGCGCATTGCGTAGAGCAGCTTCTTCAGCAACAGGGCATATAGTTGTTGACCNTACACGCTGACCGGCTTGCTGAGCACGTTCTGGCCAATGACCTTCGGGTTAGTGCTGTTAATGGCCACCAGTTTGCTAGACCCACCGGGCAGGTGGGGACGGACGGCGGCGGCGTAGCTAGTGGCCAGCTCTGCCACCGACTGGTCGTAGAAGTAGGTGATCTGCGGGTTGCGGAACTGAGTGAGCTCCATGTGCAGCGGGGGCGCCTCTTTCTGTCGGGGAATGGCCTTCAGTGAGAGCTGTGTCATGTTCAGTATGATGAAGGGGATTAGCAGTTGGGCGGCCGTCAGGAAGGGACTGCGCATTGCGTAGAGCAGCTTCTTCAGCAACAGGGCATATAGTTGTTGACGGAGCAAGACCAGGCCGTAGTTTTTTTTCACCGGCGACTTGCCAGACCGGGCATCGTCACCTCCTCTTTTGACCAGCTCTTGCTCTCTCTGCTCAGCGTTGTTGATCGACTCAATTTTGTCCTTTGAGTATTCGCCCACTTTGAGGAACACTTCCTCCATTGTGGTTACTGAGATGCCGTAGTTGGTTATGTCCTTATTTGCCTCCAAATCAGAGAGTAGGCTTTCAAATCGGTCCGTTTTATCGTCTGGCAGTGAGTACGTCAGCTCCAGTCCTACTGCGCTTTCCATGTTGGCACTCTCAACGTGTCTCTGAATGCGTTTCGTAATCTCATCTGCTTCTACCTTTTCGTGACGTTTTGCAATAGTCAGACTGTATCCAGTGCCGTACTGCTTCTTGAGGAACAGTGGTGAGCCACAGCATTGGAGCTTGCCATTTGCCATTATGGCAATTCGATCACCAAGAACCTGAAACATGTGTGTTTGTATGGTTAAAAGTGTTTAGGATCACAAAGTCATTTTTCTAAAAAACTCACATCAGCTTCTTCCATGAAATGCGTCGTGATCAGAATTGAGCGGTGTTCCTTTTCTGCAAATCAAATAATTTAAATTATGTTTTGAATTTTAATTAAATCATTCTTTATACCTTTAAGAAGCAAATCCCAAATAAATCTTCTTGCCGATACGTCCATCCCGCTTGAAGGCTCATCAAGAATAACTATTGAACTGAAAAAAACAGTGTTAGTCAAGATATTTAGAGCATTCAAGATTTGTCACATACCTTCCAGCGCAAAGTGAAATTCCGACGCACAGTTTTCTACGTTAAAATGATAAATAAAAATATTATTTGTAATCCAGCGCATATAAACTGGTTAATATTCCTAACCTTTTCATTCCGCCTGAAAGTTTACTAGACTGCACTTTTTGCTTGTCAACTAGATCCAACTTTTCTAGCATTGTTTTAATTTCTTCTTTGATCTCCTTTGCATCCATCTCTGGGCGTTTTAGTTTGCAGTAAAACTGAAGGTGTTCTTCAACGGTAAGCTCATCAAAGAGGACATTGTACTGGATTGAGCGCAAAGTAATTATTAACAACAACAAAAGTGTCACTGATTAAGTGTCTAACCTGTGGACATATTCCCAGACTGGAGCGAATTGAGTTCATGCCAGTTCGAATGTCATATCCATTGACAATGGCTGTGCCGCTGCTAGGTTTGTACAGTCCAGTTAACATCTAAAAAGATTTGATTTCAGTTTTTAAGTTATTCATTGACAAGGCCAAATATTTACCGAAATTGTTGTTGTTTTTCCTAAATGAGAACAGTAATTAATAACATGCAACTTTGTAGATAAAAATAACATACCCGCTCCATTGTGACCGAGTAGGCAGCAGATTTGTCCGTGGTAAATGTTGAGGTTCAGATTGTCCACTGAGAAACTTTTGCCATTGTAGCTTTTGCTTAGATTCATAATCCTAATGCCGGCTCGCAAATGACTGGGGTCTCGCTCTATATTCTCCTGTGTGCCCTCTGATTTGATGCCATTTTTAGTGGGGAATCCATTTAGATCAACAGACTCCTTTTCGCCCTTCCAGTAGCTTAGTGTAAAGGGAAAGTACCAGGAAAGACCGACGCCAAACTTTCCTGGAAACGCCTGTGTGACGTACCAGGTGACAAGCAGGTAGATGACTGAATTGATCAGTTTAAAGCCAAGAATGAGCAGAATGTTGAGGTTATCGCCAGGCAGTGCCGGCTCGGCAATGTTGCTCCAGTCAATGCCCACAGCTCTGCTCTCCTTCATTGTGATGATGTAAATACCCATGGCCATGTTTGTATTTGGCAAAAGTAGAAGGGCAATCTTCAGAGCTGCGCTTACGGTGCTGCGTGGTAATGAAAATAACTGATAACACCGGGCGTCAGCCCGGTGCAAAGTTACTGTTACCCGCGAGAT